AAAATGATCCCAGCCTAAAGCAGGCTAAAGAGATGCGAAAATTCAATGTGACGTATGATTCTGTTTGGGGGAAAAGACCCGTGACCCACCCCATTCCCCAAAAAGCACAGCTAACAAGGCAACAATTGTGGCCATTGGTGAAATTTGAAATATAGGCTGTACACTGGTTAACGGTCCTTGATGAACGTTCAATTTCCTAAATTGCACTGACATCAGAAAAAGAGAATCATCTTGCTCTTAAGAGACACATAGAAGCAGATGTCATGATTTCAGCTCCTATCAGAAAGTTCAGTGCTGTATTAGACCACTAGAGAGAGAAACACTGTAGCAAAATGTTACAAGTGTGGGAGAAAGGCACACAGGAGTTCATTTTACTACTCATGAAACTTTTCTGAACCTTTGAAATTTTTCAACATAAACTTACAGAAATTAAAATCAACACATCCAACGGTACGTGAAATTTCCCCCTTAAAATGGCAAGCCTCCCTTGTCTCTTGCTTTCTTGCCCAAACATGCAACTTCCCATCGTACTACGCGCACGGGCTCTACAACGTGAATTTAACAGTAGCTTGCCTTAAAATTTTTAACGTCTACGTGCTAGGTATTTAAAAACTTAAGAAGTATCATCAGACAAGCGTAACTGAAGAATGATTTGTTTACAAATGGGTCTTGAGCTCCTACTCTGTGGGCCCTGGGAATACAGCAGGGAACAGTGAGACAAAATCCCGGCGGGCCTCCTGGAGCTCTATACTGTGGAAAGAAACAATTCCCAGGAACTGCACTCCTTTACACATTGTTCTTAGAGTCTAAACTTCTTTCAATTATCCCTCCTGATTATTATGATGCACGCGATAGTTAAATCAGTTTCTCTCCATTATTTATGTAACGAATCACGATTTTGTGAACGCTTTATTGTATTTTGATAAACCAACAACATAAAATACGTAAATTGTATACTATTTTTGAAATGTATAAAGGAAATATATGGTAGCTTCTTATATTACTTTTTTCATTTTAATTCTAGTCCTGTGTAACCTACACTGTAATATTAGTTAACCTACAGTGTAATATTAGTTTCGGGTGTACAATATAGTGATTCAACACTTCGATATATCACCCGGTGCTCATCGTAGCAAGTAAACTCCTTAATCCTCATCACCTATTTCACTCATTCCACCACCAACTTCCCTTTCGTAACCATTGAATGACCCTCAGCAAAGAGGAAAGAGGGTTTTGATGGAGGACACAGAGAAACCTGGTGGTTTAGCAAGGTTTGGTGTAAGAAATACACGGAGGGTAACTGTGACCTGATGATGGCACTTTGGGTTTAATGAGAACATATTTCTTCTAAAAGGATTTAATTAGTAGGATATTGACAGACACAGCCTTGCAGTGTTAGTAATTCTCGCTAGTATTAGAGAATCGTTAACGCTGAAATGAATACTCTAACGTCGATGAGGAAGTAAAGTCCCACAGATGTTTGAACATGTGTAGGATGGATAATCTGAGCATCTCCAGACAGCTGTCAGTGAGAGAATTAAAGATGAAGTGATGATTGAGGATGAACTGAACTAATATCTACTGAGTCTTTATGATGCGAGGTAGAGTTAAGTTCACAAACTCTTTTATTTTAATCACTTTTTTTTTTAAACGTTTGTTTATTTTTGAGAGGGAGAGAGAGCGCACATGAGCGGGACAGGGGCAGAGAGAGAGGGAGACACAGAATCCGAAGCAGGCTCCAGGCTCTGAGCTGCCAGCACAGAGCCTGATGTGGGGCTTAAACCCACGAATGGTGAGATCACGACCTGAGCCAAAGTCAAATGCTTAACCAACTGAGCCACCCAGGTGCCCCATTTATTTTATTTTTTAAAATATAAACTCTTAATTAAGTAGAAGGGGAGCAGAGAGAACACAAAATAAGTTGCTGGTCTGGATGCTACCTGACCTGCCTGGGCTCTGTCAGGGAGTCAGCAAAGAAACAACTCTGGGTTTGAAGTGCATTAATTTAAAACGGAAATGAACACAGCAACTTAGGTCTCTGTTGCAATATCACATTGCATTGGATTGATACATAGCTCTGCTTTTGTCTAAGGAATTGTCCATATTCTATCCTTACTTGGGTTATTTCAAATAAAAGTCCTTAAATGCACATGGTCTGTGCGGGTCTGGTTCACTCAAATCAGGCTGGCCTCAGTCATCTGGCTGATGATAAAATCAATCTCGTGGCGGCTGAGGTGTTATGTAAATGTTCATATTCTCAGCTTGCTTTTTTAAAAGGTTTCAAATACTGGCAGGACACTGAAGATGCCAGAGATAAGACATGGTATTTCCGATATAATTGTTTGGGAGGTAAGCAGAAAGGATGGACTGAAGCAAGTTTCCCTTATTTTAAATGTTAAAGAGGGGCGCCTGGGTGGCGCAGTCGGTTAAGCGTCCGACTTCAGCCAGGTCACGATCTCGCGGTCCGTGAGTTCGAGCCCCGCGTCGGGCTCTGGGCTGATGGCTCAGAGCCTGGAGCCTGTTTCCGATTCTGTGTCTCCCTCTCTCTCTGCCCCTCCCCCGTTCATGCTCTGTCTCTCTCTGTCCCAAAAATAAATAAAACAAAAACGTTGAAAAAAA